AATTCTTAACGAAAAAGAAATATTCCTGCCGGCAGACATAACCTTTATTACTCCACAACGATTGGAAGATATGTACATTAATTTCCATTGAACCGAAGTCAAGGTTGTTGCGAAGCCAGGACCCCTTAGACTATTCATCGGCATTCCATTAAAATCAATGGACTATTACTTTGATTTCCATCATGCCATCCCTTTTCCGGCTCATTGACACTGATAATCCCTACATATCTGTGAGCAGCAATAGCCCAAAATTCTCAGCCATACTTGTGTAGGATTAACGGTAGTGGCAAGTGGGCTTTCTCTGTTCCCGACCCTCTTCACTTAACTATCCGTAGTCCAAGGGACCAGGAAAAGGGCATTAGAATGAGATCCAGTTACAATTCTTATGCGGAAATCGTTAATGGAACATGTTTTCTTCAACTTCATCCTGAATGTAGTGCCTTCTCCTACCGTCTATCAACCTTGTCTGTCTTTCCAACATTGTCCTACCCTCTAACTACACAGGACGTTGTCAATACGACAGTCTCTTTCTATAATACGCTTACATTTTGCTAGTTGCAATGATATTCTGACTTCCATTGAGTTGTCTGATGTTTACCAAGCGCTAAATGACTTGATGTTGGACGCCCTCCTAATGAATGTCAATAAGGTGGCAATTCTCGAACATTAGCATGCGGGAGTCGATATTCAAGAATTGCGACAAGGACTTAAGATCCAGAATGGTATTGCGAACAGCCAATTCCCCTGGTATGACCTGAGATTGTTTGTTTCCCCTTTGGTTGTTGCTGATGTCCTGATTGTCCTTTATACATTGCTGGTGAAGCTGAAGGGAATTAGGGGGAAATGGACCACTTTCCTTTTGAAGGAGGAATGAGGCCTTCTGCCCCTACAAGCCCTACTCCCCTCCCCGAACTGATTTGTTCCTGAAGGGAAGATGAAAGATGATACGAATGCCTAGTAATTGTTGATATGACTATTCATGTAAACATTGCATTATAGCCCTGCTAACTGCCATTTAGAAGTGCTTTTGATTTGGAGGCTCGGTCGAGAATGTATGTTCTAATGTTATGGTTGGATAGTTTTGTTTCGCTTGTTTTTCACCCTTGACGCAGCATCCTTTTGTCTAATATTTATCTACGACTTCGCTTTATGCCCGGGAGACCTATAGTTCGTAGTGCGGCACTGTCTCATCCGGTTCGCCTGCATGGTTCGCCGGAAGGACCTAAAAGTCGTTTCGCACTCTGCAAGGATAAACCACCCAAGAAAAATAGTCAAGAACCCACGGATCAGGATTCGTTAGACATCGCCTCTGCTCCGAGGAGTGCGGGAAGAGGACAAAGCTAAGAGAAGCGAAGAAGTCACAACGATCTCTCATGAAGGGAGAAGGACCTAATGCACTTACGAAGTGACAAGGACAGATGGATGGTCTCCTTAAAAGGTGATACAACGGAGTTTTTCCGGAATCCCCACAAGAAGGGTTCGTATCGTACATTCCTTTGCTCATTTGTTACCCCAATTAGCAGTGTCCTCCCGCCTTCCGGTCCCATTAGCGTCGAAGGTTTCTCATGTAGAGTGACACTTTATAAACTCCGCGTGGGAGTCGCAGAGGAGAGAGAGAAGAGGGATGAAGTGCTCCAGGCTTTGCTGCTGCTACGACACCGGGCGAGGGGCTGCGTTTGTAGACCTTCCTATTTCTCCTCGGTTGGTGCCGAGGTGCGTAAGTGCTGGTTGGAGCCGGACTTGACTGGATCTGGTTGGAGCCTGGAGGAACACTTAAAAATAGCAAGAAGGAATTTGGAAAGAGGGTGTGCTAAGGGTTGGAGCCCGAGCAACGCCTTCCAATTCATTCTCGAGTCGTGATTGTCGTCTATCACGAAACCACGCACGAACGTTGCAGCATCGAGGGTGAGAGAAAAAATTGTTTTCTTCCTTTCTAAATTCTCCCAATTATATCTCATGGTTTGAAACCTTTGCATCCGCTAAGTTGTGCTGAGAGGCTTTTGTTACACGTTTTCTTCTGTTTATTAAACACTGTAGAACTCATTGTGTATTGTACGAGTGTAGACTAGAATAAACGAAATCTGTGAGAAAACACAATCCGCTTTGGAATCCTTGCCTAATGACTATTGATTCCGTGTCGGCTGATACGAACCTATCCCAAGGGGACAACTTTCTATCCTTTCTAGCTATCCTCTTTTTCTTTGCTTTCTTAACCTTGACGGTAGGGTTGTTTGCTAGAAAGCTATCAACGTATTTTTAGCACTTATATACTACCGACCACACCCGACGACATCGCACGCTACGCAAACATTGGGCTTCACCTTGGTTCGATAGACGAGCCAATAGAATTCAATGAGTATTCCAAGTATGGTTTCTTCGGAATATTACAAACATGGTATATGCCATTATCAATGACACTGGAAGTATTAATATTTTCACTCCTAGAAACGAATGATGAAAGAGCAGGAAGAAAACTAAGATGGTTGAAAGAAATATAATTCAGTAACGACATGCCGTTAACTGTAGACACCCTATTAGCATATACCATTGAAACAACGTTAATTCAATGTTGATTTAACATCCAGACGTTCAATCAACGTTGACTCAAGTTGACTCGATGTGATATGTTACTAGGGCAGTGCCGAAGCTTTGGGGAGAATGGATGTACAAAACTACCCTGCATGATACAAAAGCAGCTTTCTCTTCACTAGCGGGGTTCATTCTTCCTGCAGAAGAAGTTCCTATGGGTAAAAGTCAGTAGGGAAATAACTCTCTTTGGCTGAAACTTTGCCAGTTGTAATGAGCGTTTTCTTCTTCGTTGGTGTGGGAATTGCAGCAGGATTTCAAGCGAGGTGACGGATCCATCTCTCTGATGTGCGCGTTGGCATCCCCCTAATAGGAAATATACCATTCATATGACCTTGTGTCAATGTGTGAGAGCACAGACACATTAGAGTGAGCACCTGCATCCGATCGAATTGCATACATATTTTATTGACCTCGAAATGAGGAATACGCCCTTATTATGAACTATAGGAAAAAGTCGGAATTGACCAGTCAATAATGGGTGACGTTGTCTTTGTAATCCATACGTGACACCGCCCAGTCCCGCTGCAATTTAAAGCCCTTCACCCAACCCGTGAACCGTTACAAAGCATTCCTTCTCAAAACTCGACCGTCTGAGCAAAAGAAGCAAAGGAAGATGGGCCTGATGAAGGGTGAAGGTGCTGCAGTTTCAATACCTCAAGCTACTTATTTCACTAGTGATTACGTGGAAATAGTGAGTAGAAGCAAATCCATCGTGATGCTGAACTGCGTTTTTGGCCTTTCCCCCTGGAGTCTGTGCGGAATGCTCTCAACCAACTCCTCTGATATTTCCAATCCGTCGAAAAAATTGTGGAAGAAATGGGACATTATCTACGTGTGCTTCCTCTTGGCAATCTTCATTGGTTTCAGCGTCCCGACGTTTCTGGCCTTCACAAGAGTGCTGGGCACTGGAGATAAAATCGGCTTCGACACGGACACGCTTAGCTTCATCGTTCTCATGGGAGGCACCTACTTCGCCATTGGAATCGCTTGGTGTACATGGTGGATTCGAACCTCTGACTTTGTCAGATTATGGAGCCACATCCAGGTACGAATCTCATCCTCAGATGTTGCATTCCCCAAGCATGTTTCAAATTTCAAGCACATAGAGGTTTACGCCTTCCAATTGAGTCAAAAGCTGTCTCATTAGGGATTTAAGGATTGTTTTGTATTTTTTTTTCTAATCGCGGCATACTGTCCTAATGTCCAATAACACCCTTGACATTGTCATGTCACACACCTCTAATGAGATATTGTATCTGAAATTCAAGACCCTCTTCGGGTAGCTTTGCTTCTTATGTTTTTTTTATACACAAGCTGCAAGTTAAAGTTCACTTTATGCTTAGTACTAGAAGATTGAATCAAGCTTAGCCATGACGATTGTTTCCCCCAATTGATTCAATATTCTGTTACTCAACATATAGCAAGCGAATTTACCAAAAATTTGCTTGCAACAAAAGAAAAGCAGCATTGTTTTCTGAATAGGATGTCCAGTTTCAAGTACCATGTTTACTGGGAGGTTTATTGCAGCACAATAATAAAAAATGGAAATCATGAGGACGGTTTATGTCGTCACTATATGCGGTTGTAAGTCTCAAAAGCCTTCCAGACTCAAAGATGTTCAAATGGTCAATCAGCCTAATCGAATTGACACCCCTTAATAAAGTCAATAAAATTCTCTGAAAAGTGAGCTTTCCAGGTTCCCTATAAACTAGGAAAACTTAATGCTTTGGTGTTATTCTCAAATTGACATAACCTGACTTGAAATGTTGAGGTTGCCAAAATCATATCTGCCTAAAGTTATTAATATAGATAATTATTTTCCCATAATGAAATCCCCAGTGAAAACCTTTTGGCGGACCGTCTGGGGTTTATAGTAGAATTGTGCGTTAACCATTGCTGGTCCATCCTAAGGAGATGGTTGGCTAAATAAGATGGTTTTCTAACCCCATCATGCTATCGGGCATGTCCAGTCGGCCCCTCAACGGAACACCTATATATGAATATTCGACAGCCGTTCTTGTCGCAAAAATAAGCCATTGATTAGTTAAATTTCCATTTGGCATGAGTATTATATATGAGTATATGTAGTGACGTCTCTTAAGGGGGTGCAAATACGACTTAAAACTGTTGAAAAAAGAAAAGCCATCTGTGAATGTTTGATTTAACGTTGAGAGAAAATTTTGCTGTCCAACCACAACTTTCAACCATTCCTCAATGATTTGAAAGAGAAATCAAGGCAAGCTTCTTTCATGTTCTAGGATCAGCCCTCATGGGGACGAATCGAGATGAAGGGATGGAAACGTGATGCAATGATAGTTCAGATCGAGAGTGTCGTCGTGCAGATCCTGGCCACTACGACTTACATGCTCATGTTTAACATCGGCCACTCTCCTTTTCGCAATGCCCAGCCTCTAATGAATGCAAACCTCCACCGGATGATCTTGCTCCTCTTGACTTTTCATATTGTCTTCATCTTCATGAGTGCGGCCTATTCGAACGTCCTCTTCGGGCATTTCTTCAAGAACGTCCTTCTTGCTCTCTCCGAAGACACTCTGAGTCTGTTGCGAAGGAGAGGGTGCGTTTATGAGGGTTCTTGTCGCAAAGTCACTCCAGGTGAGATATGAAAAAAATTTTCTTCGGAAGGTCGGGCTTATGTGGAAGTTATGGGATAGGTAGCGAGACAAATCTAAATTTGGAAAATGTTCAATGTCTTATATACTTTTCTAATAATAATGATAATAATAATAATAATATACCGTTTTTGGGACGCTATTCAGCTCAGAGCCGGAAAAGTTCATATGAATAGCAATGATTTGCGAAATTGAATAATGATTTTTTCATTGAATGAGCGCTTTGTCATTTTATAATTGATATTCAACATTATTCAAAGACGAATCCAAATAGCCCAAGCAGCATGTTTATGGTAATTTTTCGTAAACTGAAAGTAATTTTTTTTCCATTTTATATTATTTTGCGCAAACCATCATCAAGATAATGTAAACATGTTTGCAGGAATGTCACCTCTGGAATACGTAACAGTGACATAAAATTTGCGTAAATTTTACATAAAATTGACATCCCCGTTTACGTCCCCAACGTTTACATTCATTTTACACAAAATTGATGTTAATTTCCCGCTTACATTCTTGAGTATTTAACAAGCTAATTCGTACTTGTGAAGATAATTGATACTCTGTGTTTCCCCCGTTCCTTTCCTTACTTTGGAATTCAAGGTTACTTGAACAAGTACACGAGTACTCACCCCTACCAAAACTCAGTAGTACCAAAATGACTCGCTAGTTCCTCCTCCCATACCAAGACTTCGGGAGAAGGAATAAATGTTTAGAGGAGTTCTCTTCTATTGGGGATAGAGAAAGTATAGCACTTACATGACTGGGATTCTACTCTTCCCTAATCCCGCGCACAGCTGTAACAACAAGCTTAAAGTCAGCATTTAATGATTCCCTGAGTCATATATTATTAAAAATATGGAATAATTTCCTGCCTTCCATATATACAGGGTATATTCGTGGATTGCGTAATAAAAGTGGAAGGATGGTAAGAAAAATTTATACTACATCGGGAAAGGCAGTACTTAATATTATTTGTAGGGTGCAGGGAACAAGGGTTCCATCTAGTGAGGAATCTTGGTATTTGCAACTGCGGGATGGTCAGCTAAAGTTTCATATGGAAAATGTGATGTTAACCTTGCATAAACTTGATATGTACTTCACATCAAATGGAGTGACGTCTAGTTCACGTAAAATGCATGTACACTTTGGTGACGTAGATATAGGAACGTAAATTTTACGTAAACGTGATGTCATTTTCATGGCAATCGCAAGAAATTTACACATTGTTTGCAAAAAAGCGATATCTTGTTTACCTGAACATGCTGCTTGGGTGGGAGCTCTTTCATCTTTCTAGGAACATCTTTGTAATGCTGAGTATTTTAATATATTTATTTCTTCTTTACTTGAGAAAATTCAGCCCTGCATAAAAATGTGATACGTTTTTTATAGACGCTTGAATGGTTGGAACAGTTGGTGGATTCAACAGATGAAAATTTGCTAATTTTTCAAGAGAAACTAAGGGCTGTCATTGAATCTATTACTGTTTATATATGCTGTCAGCATTCATAAGCAGTTGGAAGAAGTCTGTGACTTATTAATTTCCCCCCCCCCCCCACCCACCTGACCTAACCCAACCCTAAAAGAATTGATGCTTCACCTAGCTTCTCAACTAAAATGTCATATTCAGAAATTTATGAAGGTTTTCCAAGTAAAAATCCCATAGCTGCATTTGAAATTGTTATGCCCTCTAAAAACACTGCAGCCACTAGTGAACATTTCCCAATTAATATTTCTCACTACATCACACACAAGAGGACTCATATGATTCTCATTTAACACATTGAGTCCCAGGCACGTGAAAACTAGACTACGTCTAAATGTAAAATTATAGTTCCAGGGTTCAATGTGTTAAGTAATCAGATTTCTCTTTCAACCTGATTCTCATTCAAGAACTAATGGTTCAACCATACTATGCCATTCTTGTATACTCCCATCAGGTTCACCATTTGTAGCTATCACTTCAACATTCCAGTAAATTTAATTTTTACAAAAGCTAGACCTCCTCATTTGTTTAGTGCACTCTCTCTCCCCTTGGAGGTCATCTAATTATGTATAATAATTTAGGTTTGACCAAGTCAAATGGATAACTCACTTGAGTTCACGAATACAAACTACAAGGATGTGAAACCATGGACCTTACTCAAGAATGCAATTATATGCTTACAGTATGATCAAGGGTGAATCTATGATATATCCCAGCCGGAAGGACTAGAAGATCCCCAGGAAGAACATGGATTCGAATCCATCGATCCTCAGGGTCTCTGACATCAAAATACCCAGATCCTTCTAGGACAAATCGAATCTCCTCATCCCTGTGAAGATGCTCCACAAAAAACATCTTCAGCTGCAATTGACAACCCAGACGACATGCAACTCATTGAAATATCACCCAGGTTATATAATAATCCCAGTTTAACTTAGGTAGCAAGACAAGACACTGTTAGTGAAGAAAAGCTATTCCATGAAAGAAACAAGAAATAAATATATAAAAACCTAAAAAATGCCATATTTACATAGGACAGATAGAACGGACCTTATCTTCATAGTTGGGCAATTTGTCAGGTGAGCAAATGAGTTCATCCTGATATGTATAGCCTCGTTCTTTGCGAATTTTCCCAAGCTCCTCCTCATAGTTTTTTGGATCCAACTGAATCATAGAGAAGAAAAGGTATTCCAAAAAAATGCTAATACCCCTCAATTCTAGCAATGGGATGAAGGTTACCTTGAAGTACAGGACATGAGTATGTTCTCGAAGATACTCAAGGTCCACATCCTCAGGAGGATCCAACATCAAGGGATCTCTCTGATCCTTTCCTGTCACATCCGCCATGAACCATGCACGCACCATGTTTGTTTTTGCTGCCAAAATGTCTATTTCACACTCTACTCACCTGAATGAATTCAATATATGCACTTAATTTCTTTTTAGCCACCCTTGCTTGAGAGTCAAGATGTTTTCATAGATGATGCCTAAGCAGATAGACTAAGCAGTAACTATATGAATTTTTTTCCCATTCACTTTTACAATTCTTTGGCATCGTTGAAGACAGCAATAATCATGTCTGTGCCATTTAAAAAAACGGGGGGAAGATCAGAACATTATGTCAGGGCTAATACCTGAAGAAAGACACAAAAGGTGAGCAACATCAACATCTGGCATTTGCGGTCCTCGGGATATACAGGCAGACTTAGGGTTACAATGCACTGCACTAAGGATGTGCCTGACTCAGTCTTTGTTACCACGCCATTTTGGTTGTGGAAAACTGTCGTTTTGCTTGCATTTAACTTATGACATGACTTTCAGGAACCAATTGTGTCATAAGTGCGAGGACTACCTGTATATCACATATCAATGAAGGCCACTGCAATTAGGGTTTTGGGATTACTTATAGTTCATTTAAGTTAATGAAGACTCACCAGTTTTTCCTTCAAACAAATGTAACTGACATCAAGACCTTAATATGCTGTCTGGTTTGCCTATTTAGAAATAGGGGGAATAGAAAGGAAGACCTTCTCATGGCATCCTTATGAAGTGCATGAATATTGTGTCTTACTTGAGATGAGAGGCTATTAACACCATTGACAAAGCAATTTAAAGTATCCTATATGCGTTATCTTCTGCATGTGTTCTTGATTGCCTGAATGAGCTATACTAGCAGAAATTCTTGCATCCCTGTACCCATTCACATGATGGTTGAATATTTGTGAGTACAGGGATACCTACTACAGGAAAGAGTAACATCTATTGAGAGTATCCACGAGGGATTTCAACAGAAATTAATCTTTCTCATCACATACCTCTGACTTCAATTGGGTCCCCATCCAACAAGAGGAGTCACTGTTGTCCTCCATCCAGACACATACTTGAGAGTCTGGTATGGGGATTTGTCCAAATTACACTTTGTGAAAATTTTGCTTTTCTTGAAGGAGAAATTTAAACTTCCATCTTCCACACCTATCTGACAACTGAAACTCGGGTAAGTTGCTGATTATTTCAAGGTTCAAGGTTCGGATAGGGATGTCAAGAGGAACTTCCCTCCATTATCCCATGACGATTGATAGTAATGCAGTTGAAGTGGTGTTACAGAATGGAAATAAATCTCTTTCGTAACAATCAGGGTTTCATTTCAAATAATAATAAGGAAGACAAGTGCATACATTTGACTTAGTTCTAAGATACAGGCTGAGTAACAGAAGTAGGTGAATGTTCAATGGGAACAGAGGAGAGGAGTAGGATCTGTAGGAAACTCTTCAGGGCCAACATTGTATCACCCAATCCAGATTCTACTTCACCTTGTCCTTGACCTTGATGCTTATTCAGCTTCTTCACTATGCTGTGGAGCCCTAGCTAAGAGTGGACATAGATGCAGCTCTCATCAAGGGCACTCAAACTACTTTGACATGTGATGGGGAAAAGCTCATTCTGCCTTAACTTTACTCATTGATCTTTTCATTTTATTGCCTGATATGTTAATGAAGGAGGACTTAAGAGAGGAAAACTTTCAAGCTCTTCAGCAGTGCTTGCTCATGGAATGGAATATTTTAACAGTTTCTATCATGGTTAGACTGGATGATACATGCAATGATGCAACAAAGGAGTCACTCAAGTGCTCATTAGTTAAGCAGTGTCTTATCAGGCTAAGTTGAACAGCGAATAATATTATTTCTAGGTATTTCTTAAGAAGCAATCACTTCAAGATAATATCAATCACATCTAAAATGGGAACACATGAATGGAAATTTTAGCTGCAATGATTGCCAATTTGATTAGATTAATTGGCTTGAGTGTTAGTCACAAATAAAAAACTAATATAAATTAATCACATTTTTATCAACTTCCAAATCTCCAAAATACACTTATTACATGGAACTGACAAGCAAAGTTCCCATTTTATCTCCAACAGTCACTAATTAGTAGAATTCTTTTGACATGTTTTGATGGAAAAACCTTAGTTGCATGAATAGAATCAAACCTTCCCCAAGTAAACAGTAGCTTTCTTGCTTTGTAATCCACCTTGTCCATGTGGTCATCCTGTAGCAGTACCAATGCTCCAGCAGAGAGACATTTAAATCTCTTCATCTATTGCCTCTGGCATCGTGGACAATCCAAGTAGGTAGTCTCAGCAATGTCCTCTGATGTGTGTGTGTCTATGTGTACACACATCAATGGCCACACTCTTCCTCTTCCCCTAACGGAGGAAACTATATCACATCTGTTGAATGAGTGAAATCCTAGTGCAGCCCTTCACTTGTCCAGCTTAACTGCTTCAGTCAATTCTTTGCAGGTATTCAACTTAAATGCTTACAAATAATGAATTCTACTCAGCCCAGAAGTGCAAACAAAGACTAGACAAATGAATTTTTAAATTGGGTAAATAAATTCTCCAGCTGATCTCAAACTATCAAGAACATTAATAGGGTTGGAATAGGGTAACAAGGAAACAGGAAAATGTTCATTATCTCCTTTCTTCTCTAGAGCCCTTGCACTGTCAATAAAAAGGGTAGACACATTCTTCAAAATCTCACTGTGATTTCTCATTGCTTGGTTATCTCTTTCAAGCAACTTTCTTCTTCCAAGTAAGATTTGCTCAATGTCTTATATGCCATGGGTCCCAAATACTACGAACAACTTACCCAGAGGAGTTTAAAACCCTTGCATGTTCAGTTGGATGGTGTTGCATCAGGCAACACTGTCTCAAACTGCCTTTTAACCAATAATGTGTGAAGGGGTGAGTTGCTTTTCATTCTACTAGCCTGCATCTATAATAGGCCAACAGATGATATGAAAAGATGAAGGCTTAACTTGTTTGAATCTGAGATATTTACCACATTGTAGTGTGCATGGTTGATACCAAATAAACATTGTGGTTGCTGAAGAGCTTGAGAGACTAAGTATGCATGAATGGCAATGAAGAAACTACAGCCCAGATGTGGTATGCTGTGCACACAGGAATAATCACAGTGAGATATCTAGGGCATAGCTCCCCAATATGATGTGGCTTCCAATGAGACATCTAGGTCAAGAATGAAAAGTTCTAAAGGTGACATAAGTTGCTTAATACTAACCTAATTGTAGGATCACAATGCATTAACCACATCATACGGCAAAAATCCCCCATGCACCTATAGCACTAATTCACAAATACATTAGGACAATGAATAATTTACTTAAATACATATAACATTGCACTAAACGCAGGAATGATTACACTACAGTGTTAGGCTGAAATATACCTGAAGATATAGCATTCCACTTTTCTTGCATCAGAAGGCCACTCACCACTGAAAATATTCTTGTCCTTGACATCACTTCAAACTGATGATTGACTCAACTGAACTGAACATTGAGATGAGTATAGCAATAACAGACAAGAGCAGTGAAGGAAGTACTTTAATTGCAAAAGAAACTTCTAGGACATAATCTTCTCACTAGTAGATGTGCAGGTTGAATGAAGGGTACATATTAGAGCATCTCATTTGAAGTGGAGCAAATCAGTCATCAAGGCACGTCAGAAGATATTACAGAAACATAAGACACAGACCCTTTTCAAGCACCAATTGAAGAGCTGTCCTCTTTGGGCTTCAAGCAGACTGAGAATACACAGCGATACTCACTCTTCAACATGCTGTATGGATTCTGAGCATATGTCGTCAGCACATCTGTATCTTCCTCCTGCACTAGCCAATGTATCATCATTAGCATGAACAGAACAATCCAACTTACAAAAAGCCTACTTTTCACATTCCATTAAGTCATATTATTCAATATTAGTGACCTCAAAAAATATATATCACAGATATCTGCAACAAGTTCCTCAAGAACACAAGACTGGATAGAATTAACAACCCTATTACTTCAAAGCAATGACTTCTTGAATCAATGGTGCCATGTTTGTTCCATCTCATACATTCTCTGCAAAAAGCCAGCAATGATTTTTCATAAGATGAAGTAACTAATGCAAATGCAAGGTATGGAAGGCACCATTAGTGTCAGGGAGAACTATGAAATATCAACACAGCACTGTACCCACCAAGAAGGTGAAGCCGCAGGCAAGAATGAGATCGTGAAGGAGATCATATGCAGGTTCAATGGAGACCTCCCCAGGGATATCAGCATAGTGATATAGCAGAGGACCCAGGTTGATCCAGATCCCTCCTGGACTCAGGATCCTGTAAATGAGCTCCAGGTACTCCAACACATTATTGGCACAGTCCAGGAAAAAGCATGTCACCACACAGTCCCACTTCCCATCATCTTCTTTGTAAACCTGAACATAAGAGTCATTCACTGTTAGCATCAAAACCAACAATCCTTGCTGCTTGCAATAACAACCTTGCTGCTGGATTCAAGTAGATATACTCTTCACAGAAAAACTGGCTTCATGGAAAAAAGTTATAAAGTACTTCAATGAACTAGAATTCTTGTGGAGGTATTTTTTCATACTTTAATACTAAATTCATTAGTCATTCATCCTTCTAGCCCAGACGATGAAATTAAATTCTTAGCCCCATTCAAATCTATGTATATGTATGAAAGTGAAAAACTCTTTCTAAGGCTTCCAGTTTGGCCAGAGCTGTGTCCAGCATCCATCATGATAGAAATGGATTATTGATGAAGTTGAGTTTCGTAGATATAAACCAAGGGGAGAGAAGTAAATGAGCTAGTGAACTCCACCTCCTTTTCTTCCCAACTTTCATTCAGCATGAGCATACCTGGTGGGAGTAGTGAACTTTAACTGAATAGGTCACTACCACCACTGGCTCCTAGTCTCTTTCTTCTCCTTATGACCTTGAACATCTAGTCTTGGTCATCATGATACATGTCTATCATAGACAAAGGCTTGGCTAAAGTGGAAATCTTGTTTATGGTTTTCCACTCTTTTATTTGTATATGCAGCATGAGGAACCATTGGTACTTATGCACAAAGCAATACATTTGCAAAAAAATATGAAAATTTTTGCAACTTCTTCTCACTTGTGCATTATTATGTTCCACAGGATAAGGGTCTTGTATAACTGGAATTAAAGGAGGAGTAGAAAAGAAAGAAGCAGAGTTACAAACATATGCTTTAAGTTTTGTAATATGTTTGTATGAATTTGCATGCAAATCAATTCCACAAACCAGAGCAGTTTCAGTTGGCCACTATCTGATGGCAATGGTGGTCTCAGGCACAGACAGACTCTGCTCCCCTGTCTCCACTCAACACTCAACTTGGTGGCCACATGTATTATCTTCTATACTACTTTCCATCCTTTTCTTGAAATACAAGGGATGACAGAAAGTAACAAGACAAGACCTTGTCTAGTTTCTTCCCTATCATCCCTCGTATTACTACAAGGCTTTCAATTAACCAAAATTCAGATATTATCTAAAACCTCCTGGTATAGTGACTATATATCTCTAGTCCTTCATCAGTGCTTCAGCAGATCACAGATTGCTGCAGGGAAAAAACAAAATTGCTGTTTCAAAAATGGGCCTGGCCAAGGTAACAGGTACTGCATGCACCCATGAAAACTGGGAATCTAACATGCAGAATGGAATGATCACTTCAAGTTTCATTGCAATTTTGGCAAGTGGTGAGTCTGGCTTATTAGTCATTAACCACTTCACTACTAGCCTATTAACCCTTTCAGGCCTGGCACGACTCAGGAGTCCAACTTTATTTTTTTCCCTATTTTGCTTGGTTATATAGGAATGAATGACTTGAGGACTTTTGGAATATGAATTTTTTAAGTTAATGACATTTCATTGCTGGGTTCCCTCACTGGCTGAATGAGGAAAACTTGTTTTTATCATTTATATTTTAAAATTCAGGTCTCAAAGTGTTAACATACATTTGTACCATTGAGGTTGAAAAGAAGGAAGAAAACAGACTTTTCTGCTTTATTCACATCAACGGTACAGTCACATGTTGCAGGTACAGTACTGCCAGAAAGTTTGAGGCAGGTTGCAAAAATAATTCTTTTTCAAGAAAAATACCAAAAAAAAGGAATGCTCTTTCTTCAAACAAAATGTAAATGATTAATCATGGTTTTTATTAGTCGAAATTGTTTGTTATTTTAAATTTTTTTTAAATAGTTGTGAAATTTTCCCACCTGCCTCAAACTCTCTGGCAGTACTGTAAGTGGCAAAAGAATCAAGCAAAATTGAGTAGCCTTAGCAACATATATTTGAAAATAACAGCTATTATCCTGACATAATGCACATGTGACACAAACCTGGGTCCCATATGCTGACTTGCCATAGATGCCATACAGAGACATTTTCATCTCTCACATGAATTTAAGTTGAAATTGCACAGCAATGAAATGTCCACCTAGAGGCATTAGAGATTAATGTTGAGTAGGATGAAGCTCCTCAAGATCTTCATTATGTTTTGTATGAGCCAGGCAAAAATGGATGATGAGTTAATGCCCATGTCCAAAAGTTACCCTCCACTCATTTTTGAGGTACAGCTTTTTCTTGTACAGAACCCCTTTAATAAATCATTCAATGATTTCCTTCTCTGGCTCATTTAGATAGCAAATAGCTTCTCATATGCCCCCATGATTCAAGTAACTTCAACATTCTCAAAAGTTAACAATAATAATTGAAACCCTGTGGAGTATAAGACTTAAGCACTATCTGAGATTCCACTGGTCACCATAGACATCACTTTATAACCATATTCTATCACCCAACTCTCATCAATGAAGGTTCATTGTTTCTGAAGACAGAGGGACACAGTAGTTGTTATCCAAAAAATAGGTCACTATGGCAAATGTAGACAGCCATAATGAAAAAAAAAGGAATATAACAAACCTATTACAATATTTGCCATTATCCTGTAAGTCACCATGGAAATGGTAGATAATTATTCAACACTTGACTATTTAGGATGAAAAATGAATTTGCAGCCTGAACTGACATTGAGGAAGTCACCAGCAGCCATGGAGAACTCAGTTTCCAGGGAAATTGAGCTGGGATTAACATCCGGGAATTTGATGGCTTGCACCTGGTCAGTTGCATTCAGGTTGTTGATGTACTGGTGCACAAATGGATATAGAGTGTACATGTCCACTCCACTACACCTGCAACCCCATTGCTCTTTTAATGACTGAAAAGAAGTGAATTATGAAAGAAAGAGAGAAAAGGGCTTACTTGTTGAGGACAAAGTTGGATGCAAGGAGCATAAAGAGGGAGAACTCATTCCCTTGGCATTCAAAACCTAGACTAGCTATCTCAAATGCTAGACGTCCAAGCCCTGCTCCAGGCACCAGGACTCTCACGCTTCCTGCAGGTCTAGTAGTACATCATACATCACACAAAGTTATACTGGGAAATTCAAAGAATACAGTGGCCTGAAGTAAAAGTTCAAGCATTACATGAATTTGCTGATGCTGTAGAGTTTGACTACAACATGAAGCTTCACTACTTTTTTAATTACAGCCGTTGACATAGGTTCTTACACTTCATCAGGAGGAAAGGCATGGACTAGAGCCCTGAGGATGGGGCCATAACAGGCATTACGCTCTTCTTGCCCAAGACTGCTCCAATCTCTGACAAACTGCTTCAGGGTGCTCTGGACCTTGTCCATGTCAGCCATTGATGCCTGCTTTGGGTTACAGGATCTCTAGCATACACACACATAGCCATTCAAAGGAATGAACTGCAGCCAGCTCTTGAAAGTAATTAATGAAGTAAATCATGGAACTCTGAAGAACTTACAATAGTTTCATGTGCTGCATTAACATAGAGGTACTTGGCATCAGCAACAATTAAGTCTACAATCTTAGCATTGTGTTCAATGCAGGAGCGCACACAGGTCAGGTGCTCTCTGTACTTGGTCAGCATCTCCTGGTGCCTCAAATTCAGTGATAGGAGGTGGCTCAGCGTGTGGTTCACACGCTCCAGGCAATGAATCCTACAAGCCAATTTAACATGAATGCACAACATTCACAAATTAAATGATGAAGATGTGAGAGTGGCATTTCTGCAATACACTGTACCTGTAGTACTGAAAAGCATTGACAATGCGTTGGAAGTGCTTGGATTCTTCCTCCTTCTCCTTGTCATCAATCTCCTCCTTTTTGATTTGGAGTCCATCCCCATCTCCACTGCTCATCTCCCACTTCACAGATGGATTTAGGGAGGAAAACTCCAATGGCAGCAGAAGGGAACAGACAACAGTCAGAATGAGTCTATTGCAGTAAAATGCTTTGGCAGAACTTCACTGCATTAATTTCTCTCTGCGAGAAATTCAGCTAGGTGGAAGAGAGCTCAAGCTCTCCACTCTGACCAGACTCAAGGTCACAGCCATTGCACCTCAGCACCATCATATCTCATTGAAAAATATGCTAATGAGATACATTTAAATTTATTCTCATCTCATTTACAGGCATTACACACCCCATATACAGACAGGATAAGAAGAGGTGAAGAGAAGGAATGACCTTGGGAAACAACAAATGGGACAGAAACAATCTGGGGCAACCAAAGCTGTATCACACTCTTATGGGAACAGAACTCAGATTTCTGTGCATCTCCAAGACTTAATTTCTGTATCAATTGATGAAAGATCTGAAAGACTCAGGTTGCAGGGGGAAAATAGTCATGTTATGAATCCTGAAGGCCTTCCTAGATTTGCTGGGTGGAGTTCCCGTTCCAAGTTTTTTTCTCATCATCTGAATAGTCATCAGGATTGGCCATGCGTCGAACATTCCCCTCCTGCCTGAACAATTTGTCTCCACCTGCACCTGGACGCTGTCTAACACTGTTGAAGAGAAAAAATAAAATTCACAATAAATAAATTTGCAGCAACCTTCACTGTCAAGAAACATCCTTCAACAATTGCCTCCATACAAATAAATTTGCATGGAGTCAGGAAACACAAGTGTTAGGAGCCCAGATCAATTCAATTATTGCAAGATAATGAAATGTTAATGTAAATCAGATGAGTGCATTTTGGTTCATGTTTTCAATTATGGCTTTTTCCCTGATTTTTCTGATCAAGAAAAAATATTCCAACTTAAAATACACACAAATAGTTATCACTTTTGAATGTCTCAGGAATTTGAATTTATATACTCTTTCAGATTGTTTTTTCTTACTTTCAGTTTAATTCTGGTTTCACACCTTGCACCAGATGAGTCATCAATGGTTATGGTTTCACAAACAGTGAGGCATCACAATAACCCCTATTCCTTCTTGGTCTCTCATAGTCTTTCATGAATCAGTTCAAACTGTGTCCCCCTCCTCTTTAAGACATCAGATTTCTTTTAAGAATTTTGTGGCATGCCAACCAACATTTCCCTTTTAAGAGATCCCTCTGAGATGCTCAATACAATTCTGTAAAAATTAAAACTGACAGCAGCTGATAAGCACAACTAATGAAAGCCCAGCATTCACAGCCTTTTTAAAGACTGCTTTTTAGTTCAATTCATAGATTCAAAAAAAAGCAAAACAGAAGACAGACTGAGACTCATTTTTTCAGTTAGAATCTATGGAGATTCAAGAGAAAGAACTCACCCAGATGATCCAGACGGCCGGCTAGGAAGAGCAGATGCTGAAGGAGGTGGGGTTGAGGAATTAGGTGGTGGAAGTGGCCGAGAAGGGGGTGAAGAGCTCGGGAGGAAAGAAGAGAGCAAAACCATCAACATGTTGAATACAGCCACCAACGGAGAGCAAATGGTCCAGAACAAGGACCGGAGTGAGGCAACTGAGCTGCCTCCATCCCCACTTGCTCGTACATCTCGAGTTCCCACTGTTGCCTGGAATGATGTTCACAGTAGTAGAGACATAAGAATTGATGAAAACTGAAAACTGATATCCAAATTATTATGATTACATCACAGCTGAATCTTTGCATTAATCACTTTACTTGCAGGCTAATTTTAAGTCCTCCTTCATGAGTGGTGGTCTTCCAAGGTTTGCCAGGCATTATATGATCATTATAGATCAAATGAAATTTGACCTAAAAAGAAATTTTATCAATGTTCTCTTGGCAAATATAGAAGCAAAACTGCAGCCACTTGGATGGTCCCCATATTCATTGCACATACAGAAATGTGAATTGAACAGCAATTGCACATGTTGCCCCCAAAGCAACAGCCTGGTCACACTTTGGTGATACAGATTTTATGTCTGATTTTTGGTCAGCATAGGACTCAATGCTACCACTATCCTTCCACTCAGTGGTGCAGTGGAAACCCACTAATACAGCAACAGCCTCCACTGGAGAGTGGGAATGGAACTAACTGGCATAGCAGCATTTGGCAAAAACAGTAGTTAATAAACATCAAAAGGGGAAGAGATGCAGAATTTTATCTCTGGATAACAGCATAATTATTCTCAGTGACTTGGGGTTCCTAAGTTGACCCACAGGCAGTATCAGAAGAACAGCTGTAGGCACAAGGAGGAGATCCCGAAGGGTTGAAGAAAACTCTTCATTCTCAAATTGTCTCCGTGGATATAGAGTGCTGAGAGTGAAGCGGGAATAGGGTAGAGATATGTTCCCTTTTGCCCAATCCCAAGCTTCTTGCAGTGTAGCATCTGGATCAAAATCATGTACACGTTGGGACCCATCTGGCAGGCGAAACTGGATGCGTGCTACAGAACTGCAGGTACAATAAAGAATTCATTCATCCCATCATACCTATGGCAAAATTGAACCATGGGATAAGCAAATACCTGCTGGCAGCTAGTCGCTCCTGCTCCTCCTTCCATTTTCGATTGGCTTCCTCTTTCTGCCTGGACTCTTGAGCTTCCATCTTAGCACTCTTTTCTGCTGACCACCTTACTGAACGTTCAGCTCTACATGAAATTCAAGAAAGTTAGGCATTTAAGTTACACCAACTCAGATCCAATTTGCAGTAAAACAAAAAATCAGTTTTGTAAGGTGTTATTGATAGGGTTTACTAATGAGATTCTCAGAAGTCAAGCCACAATAAAAGAATGTATCAGATTTTCCTCAAATTAAAAAATTGATCCTGCAACATTTCCATGAGGTAAGACAATTCAGCGGCATTAGTACCTGTCTTGTTGAATCTGCTGAAGGATTCGCTCTCGTGCCATGCGCTCCTCATCTCGATCTTTTTTATTCTCAGCAGCTGCCTTCATCCTTTCTTCCTCCTCTTGCTTTTCACGAAACTTCTGCAGCTCCTGTCCAGTTCTCCTCCGTTCACGCTCTTTCTCCTTCTCTTTCTGAGTCATCATGCCATGAAAAAATTAATACATGAAAACATACAAAAGTAGTAGCTCAAGGAAATAGATCAATTCCCAGTGTCAACATATCTGTACAAAATGATTGATCTGACAGATTAGTCATCATTGTCTATTTTTTGACAAGGGTCAATAATGGATAACTTGGTCCTGAAAGCCTTTAAAAAAATCTACTTGGAGACTGCTGAGCCTTTGTCTTAACCTAGCATGACTGCCTATTCCTCTCAGAAGGGTTCACACTCCTTATCTGCATTCAGAACCATAAAAACCTATTGGTATTAGTTACTGGCTAATATTTGCCATTCTGATACTAAGCCTATTATCAGCTAGGACCTGGGTAGTGATTTCAGTTAATAATCACGGGCCAATATCTATCTTGGTTCAACACCTAAGTCCTACATATGATATTTCATACAATCATTTTTTCTCTGAAATATGGATAGTGGAAATCACTCATCCCTTGATTGACATCTCGGCATGTTATACAAAGGTTGGTAAAATATGCATCAACATTAGGGAGGAGTGAAGCAATCTTGATGAAATTACATACACAAACTCAAAGCAGTATTGTGAAGGAACTAATAATTTCAAGAATGCTTCACAGAAAACCAATGATAGATTATGTCACTTTGTTGCAGTTACCAAATACACTCATAAAATCATATTTCTAGCTCAGCCTGTTTATACCATTTTCAAAGCCAACATCAGAACTCCATAAGGCAGTGCAAGCATTCCAATTCCAAAGATCCTTTTTGGTATAACAATAATATACTTCACCACATGGGAGCTTTAGGCTCTTGCCTCCTTGAATAGAACTCACCAAAGCACAAAGGTTCATCATCATCAAGCATCACATACTATGCTTAAATACTGATAGATGATGAGGTGAGGTTCATAGTTCCAAGATAGATTCAGAGAAAAGCAAAAAATTTCATAAAGAACATGTCCAGAGTGCAATAGCTATATGTGTGTGATTGCAGTAGACAAACCTCAAGCTCCTCTTGCCTCTTTTGCTCCCGTCGGAGCTCCAAAAGCTTTTTTGTATGTTCCACTCGCTCCTCAACACTTCTACATTCAGATCCAGTGCTATCACTGGCACCCTGGTCCATTTCACCACTTCCATCAGCAGATATTTGAGCACTGGCCCCCTGTTGAAAGATAAGATGGAGCCTCTTTCATTCTGAGATAATACATATCTTTTCCAAAAAAATTGAATGATATTAAGGAAATGGTTTAGGCCTCGTTTATATATTTTTTTATTTACATCTTTAAAATATTTAAAAAAAACAATGATGTGCATTATCAATGGTGATGCATACTGACAGAAATTTTTACATAGAATATCATTAAAAGCTTAAATTGAAACTTCCACTTACTCACGTCTAAGAGATTTGTATTAAAAGATATCCTGACCTCCTTCAAAGAAAAGGATTTTACTCCTGACTCTGACATGACTCACATGGTCCTCTTGAATTATTTGTACAATATAGACCTTTTCAACTCCTCTGACACCTATTATTGGTCTCAGAAATTTAGGGACTCTGACATTGACAGATTGGAAATTTTTTAGTTTTTAAATATTGTTACACATATAGAACCTTCCTCACTTCACTTGAATTAGCTTCTCCACTGCTGTCTTGTGATGGAACAGGATGAGATCCCTCTCCAGATGCTACTTCCTTCCCTTTGTGCAAGGCAAGGGCCCCCATGATCTTCTCTTTCATGAAAGATGCATCCACTGCTCCTCCTATAACTTCCAAGGGGGTTCCATTGCGTCCAATCAAGAATATGCTGGGAATGCATACTACTGGGTCTGAATGAAATGGTATATGTCAAGAATCCAACTATAATGTCTGACAAGCTCATAAATATGACTTGACTATACTCACATTTCATCCATTATTGTTATACCTATGAACTTTATACACAGCAAAACACTTAAGCTCCATTCTACTACTACTGGCAAAGTGAAGGTAAAAGGATACAAATTTCAGAAAACTGTCTGAATGGAGTTGTATCCTTGTCCAACTTCAGAGCCACAAACTGCTTTGGGTTTGAGAATTGGCCACTCAACTCCGCTCCTTCCAGCATTGACTTCACCATCTTGGAACTGTCTGATTCATCTGCAACCAAAGGTTAACAAGCCCATAAGATATCAGGTCACAAACTGTTCATCTCTTCACTTTGTAGGCATAATAAGAATAGAGATCCATCAACATTTAATTAATTTTCAAGATCACCTATGTTCTAGTGGATCTTACTGTTTTTGTCCTGGTAACCAAGCATATCATCCACCTCAAGAAAAATTACTGGGCTGATTGGAAAAAAATGAGATAAATATGGGCTCAACTAAGTACATAGCTTTTAGGGGATCACAGCTATTGAGCTCTAAGTGCTGAAAGTACTGGACAGTACTTCCCAGGAAAATTACAGGCCATTGACTCATTTCCCAAAAATAAGTTTACTTTCTCAACAATCTTGGTGGCTGGGTGGCTTCCAAGTGAAACCCAGGAGGCAGAGGAATGAGTCTGGTTAATGACAAGCTCTTTCTTTGACCACTGGCACCCCCTGGCTCTCATGGGGAGGATTTGCTTAGCAGCAATATACAGTGAAAACTCGTTAACTTGAATCCTGATATGTCGAAATTCTGCTTATCTCGAAGTTCAATGCTTAGTCCCAGTGGAACCCTGTAGGACACCATGTTAAAGGCTCCATTTAACTCAAATTCACTTATCTCGAATTTCCGGACATCTTGAATGAAATTTTCACTCCGAATAACGATTTTCTCACAGTTAACTTGAATTCAGGGTGAGAAGGGGGGGAAATTCTTCTTGTGGGAGTTTTCAATTTTTGAATAGAATCAATGACAAGAAACCTGTTCAGGAGGATGCTCTTTTGTTTCTTTTGTTTTTTTTTCTGCTTCTCCCTCCTCCCACAGACACCTGTGGAAAGGATTAAACCTGAGGATAAAAACCGAAAAGCTTTGGCATAAAAAAAAGCCTCCAACATTCGCTCTGTCAATCTATTGCTCTCACTCCGAGCCATTATGTCCCCTATGTCCCTTAACATGAGTTTTTTTCTGGGGGGGGGGGCAACTCCTGATAACTCAAAACATTTTGCCCGGTCCCTAAAAGTTCGAGTTAATGAGCTTTCACTGTAAATCACACCACCCTGTGCGCTATATCTCACAGCTATGGGTGTAGTATGCCATAAAAATCACTAACACTAATCAGGGACCTATCAACCCATGAACTGCTCCTAGAGCCTCTTTCAGTACAGTACTTTAGAGGTGTCTGTGCTTGAGAGACTGTGATCTTGGTTGCAGTGCCAACACCAAGTAAACACCTCTCTCTGCATATTCCAATAAATGCAACTTTATGAATGTCATCTTTATTAAAGTTACTTTCTAGTTGTTTCAGCCCAAGTGTGGAAGGAATGCTCTGTCTATCATTTCTTCTAAGTCTGTCCTAGGGGTCCAGGTTGAATGCCACACAAGTTAAAGTCTAGTTTTATATAAATATAAAATAGCTATTGAAACCATTAGTCTGAGTCTCACCAGAAGGGAAAGGGAAAGGGAAAAGTGGTACAGCATGGCAACTCCCTTGCTATGTATATGAACCTCATCATTATCTACAACCTATACACAAGGTGGGACTAACACAAGTTCTTAACTCTGGAAAACTCAACATACATCAAATGTAGTTATGTTCAATAATTTTCCACTGCCTTCAAAAACCAAATCACCAGCACAATTCTCTTATTGATCAGGGAAATGTCAGGGTAATCATTTCAACTGATGGATGAATATCACAGGGTGATTTAATAAGAGGGCAAACCTTCCACCCTGGGAAGTTCAGTCCTTTTCACACCCTGTGTATTTTCATAGAAACAAGCTAGAGAATACGGCAGAGGATCAGCTGGTGAGGGCCAAGTTTCAGCAGGTCCTACATAGGTATATACATGAAACCCAGCAGTACAACTTGGTTCTTAGATTCAAATGTGTTGCAAATACCAGATCCACTCCTTGAGAATAAGGAAGAAGGCTCAACCGCAATGATGAGGCTTCGTTCCCATGCGCGGAGAATCGACCCCACGGTAGGATGCGAGCAATCCCTACAGGCCTAGTTGACTGATAATAGTTTAGAAATAAAGAGACAACAAATAATTCAGGCGGAGGCTGCTCTTTGGATAACATGTTAGTTAGGCTTGGGGCCGCGGGCCAGAAGCGTGACCCCTATAATGAGCATAAAGAGCGTACACCTCACCTGCCAAGAAAACGAGGAGCAGAGCATCCTGAGATTTCGCCGAGGCGATGGCATCCGGGATATTGCCACTGAACCACATCCTTCCGTACTTCTCAATCGAGCTCGCAACGAGAAATCAAAACTCACACAAGAAACAAGAATCCAAATATATATTTCCAATCTAGCTGAAAGGATCGCCTCGTGTACCAGATCCAACCAGACCACTCACATGTCTCGTGTCAGACCGTGTAGCGCCATCGATAGACTACGTGCTCCATGGCTGCCCACTCCTGATTTTAAAACCCAACAGGTCAATGGAGGATCGCTTGCGATCGCTGGTCATGTTCAGAGAATATACACCTCCATGCTTCAAGAATCATTCCAAGCTTATGAATCCGTGACGCGACTCTGTTATAACGTTTTCCTCACAATTCGTCAGCAAAAGTGGTTCTCTGCTTCTCTCTAATTTCACCCATCTCAAGGACGCAGACTGAGCGATAACAGACGAAACTTGCCATATGATCCAAGTGCAGCTCAATTTTTTCTCAAATGCATTTAAGATTAGCGTCCAGCGCCTACTCACATTTCGCCAGTGCGAGACTTCAGAAAATGAGGATCAATAGAAAATCAATACATAAAAACTCCTCATTTCCCTGTTCTCATCGATTCAGTACTTTCTCCGAACTCTGAGCTTCCCATAACGAGACCCAGAGGCCTTCGTGGGCCGCATTCGACCTAGAGCGCTAGCAGTGGATCATTCACGTCGTCTCTGATGGAATAGGTAATCCTCGTTACGGTACGTCACTCCCGATGTGACGTGGTCCAAATGCATGATGCTTCAAAGGTCGACGAACTCCTAATCCTCATCCACCGAATCCCTTCTCTACAGGGTGGGCCATAAGTCCTTCTACCCCTGACTTTATTAAGCATCCGAAGCATCTGTATGTGCACCATCATTGTCCCGACATAAGATAATGCGTTTCCAGGTTCTATGGGACATTTTTCTTAGCATTGCCGGGGTGATTGTTCTAAAAGCTTCACGGACCGCATCCATCAGTCCGGTTGTCGTCTGGTAGTGCCTCTTGGACACAATTTCCTGGACTTATTGTGGTATAGGAACTTATGGCTCACCCTGTACAACGACTTCATGTTGGACGACGCATTCACCCACTTCTTTTATTTATGGCGAGGGGAAACAATGAATGCTTTATGAAATCCCCAAAGCCATCAACACAGCAAGGACCGTTTTGGATGCAAAATTGGTTGCATTCCAAGCCATGCCAGGGTCTATTCTCTCCCATTGTAGGAGACTTTATTCCTCGACATTACTGACAGTTCCTCAACGATGTTTGATTTGTTTCTTGTTTGGTACTGTTTAGTGTCTCAGAATCTCATTTAATAGTAGTTCCCCCCAAGGCATGTAGGGTGATTAAAAAAACACGCTCTACCATTTTCTAGAGGAGAAACACTGTTACATAAATGTTACAACAAAAAAATTGGCTACGCAATCGGCATTGGACGGTTAGAAGGTGCTGAAATGCACGTCAGCTTTTTATTTATTTATTTAAAACCCCTGCCTAAGTTGTGCAATGCCCATTTAGAGGTGAATTAAAGGTGCTTACATCATTTCATCTTAAGTGAGGCGACCTGTGCTAGACCGTCTCAGAATTCAATGAAATTTGGCAAACGGTCGGATTATTCTGAGAATAGCCCGCAGACAAAACATATGTCTGTACTTCGAACGGAGGCCACGAAAAGTGAGTTTTAATTTAATGGGGTTGCGGGTTGGGGGTTGAGGGTTGGGGGTTAAGGGTTGGGGGCACAAAATGACCCCCAACCCGTAGAAGCTAAATTTCTGACTACACGGCTACATGGCACATTTCTGACTATAAAGTCATCACACTATTTTCTCATTGGCAATAACTTTTCAAGGGACAGTTGGATGCAACTGATACTTAACAGAGAGATTCATGAATCTGACAGGTTTTTTTCACATCAGCAAGATAGCGCCATCTTGTAAGTCAATAGAGGGCGCTGTGCTTGACATGAGGACCTCCTATCTTTCTGCTAGTCCACTTTTTGCGCAGGAAAAAAAAACTTATTTTTTTTTAGCCTTTGAACCTTACATGAGCCTCTCTGCCAAATATCCGTTGTATATGTCCAATATCAAGAGTTCATGAATCCTATCATTTTTGCTCGAGTTTACTTTCTCCCATAGAAATCGGCGGATAATTTTTTTTTCAAATCACAATATATGCAAATGAATGAAAAATTTCGTAACGTTTAGGATACCTGAAAATGGACTTTCTTCAAGTTCAGCAGTCAAATATTGCTAACGAGTTTGTTTCCACCGCATTTTCTTTACCCAATACCACAACTAAGAGGAAACACTTTCTGGAATATTTATGAATGGAAAAATCAAGTTCACAGGTTCAACAAGAAGACATCCCGAGACAGACCAAAAATAAAAGCACTGCAGTGTTAGCACAAAATCATTTGATACCGCGGGAGCTGTCAATATCAGCCATCCGCGATCTTATTCTTGAATCGTTTCCCATTCCTCAAGGAGACGGTGGTAACGTCACGGGGATAACTCCGCTTCCGTGTCGCTGGGGACTGCCCCTTCAGTTGAATGAAGCTGGTCTCCGGAGCCGTAGTGCTGTTCTGCACGTTCGGCTCGTCGATCGTCGTCATCTGGTTCTCAGGCCGCCACGGGTTCTGGATTCCGGCTGCTTGGTGGTTGAGGCGCTGGAATGCTTGGTCGAGGGACTCGCGTCCTAGACGATTCACGTGGTGGTGCAGGTTTCGCTGGTGCTGTCAAGACAACCCCAAACCCGAAACTTTAGGAACGAGAGTGTTCCATTCCACCGGATGATCCAACGGCTTTTTCAAGAGCACTGATTTCTCATGCGTGGAGTGACCCAGGAAAAACTCCATTCCTTCTCTTGCCTTGCAGTATTAAACATTAACAATATATATGTCGCCCTACCGTCATTCGAATACCTATGCTTTATAAATACATGCATTGACTTTGATCCTCCCGATATCGCAGAACAGAGAAAAAACAGAGATTCCATTTCCTCCTCATAACGTTGGATGTTTATTATCTACAAATCCAAAAAGCAAAAGGCAGCCTGTAGTTTTTTTTAAATCACCAAATGGATACCGGAATCTGTAAACGAAGAAAGAAGAGGGAGTGACAAAGCATACCACAATTTCAGGATGAACAGTGGTGATCCAGGGCTTATGGTCAAACTTCCATCCCGTGCGATGCAGCCCTTTGAGCACACGGTCGTAGTCCCAACCGAAATGCTGGACGTTGTGCTCCACCAGATCTGCACCCAGTATCTCCTCCGGCTCCGTCAGTCTTATCGGCACCCACCGATTGATCGCCTGGCGATTCACCATTGACGATGACACAGAATGCAAGGTCGGTGAAATTATGGCACTAAAGTTGAAGGCAAAATGCAACATAAACATTTCAAAAAGAAGAGATGAGGATCGAGGGAGACCCTGATATTCTTTTGATTCCTACAAGATAAAAAGGAATGCAGAGTCAACAACTCCACCGACAAAAGCATGACAGAACGAAACGAATGGTCAAAAAACTTTGCGAGGATTTATTTATTCAAGGAAATTTAGCCTCTCATGCAAACTTCGCAACTTGGAAAAGATACCCACCCATATCAAGAAATGACGTTTACGCTGAGAGAAGTAATCACCGCATAAGAAACATACGCCAAGAAGAATAAATGTGGAGAAGAGAGACCAAGCAGCGAAGAGGATCACACCGAGCATCTGCACCCCTAGCAGGTAGAAGCCCCCGCCCTTGAACAAGCCACTGTAGGCGGACATCCGCAACTGGCTGTCCGAACGGACGAACAATCCGACCGCCAGGGTGCTCCATATACCACCGCCACCTGCGATCGTGCAAGCGGTGTGACTTCCTCGACAACATGTTCAGATGAGGTGGTTATCAAAATACGCATTGATGAAGGAACAGGATTATTTTCATCACAACTTAAGGAGAAAATACATATAATTCATGTATAATTTGATTTCCAAAGCGAGTAATAATTGTCACATTCCTTCCATAGCAACTAGCAGAAAGGGTTATTCAAACTTTATCAATAAATGTCCAAATATATATTGGAAGAAAAGTAAAACAATATACTTTGGTGGAGAATCCCAATCACAACAAACAGGTCAAGAAAAATTTTTAAAAATCATAGCCCAAGTTACTCAGTTTTAACGATCTTTTTGTTATTTTGACTCACCATGAATGGAGATGGCACCAACAGGATCATCAATGCGCAGTTTATCAAATAAGGCGATCCCGAAATTGACAATTGACGCACCGACACCCCCCACGATCAGCGCCTCCCACGGCTGTAACGATGAAATTCCCGCAAAAAAAGAGCACAGATGATAATCCGATGCCGGGAAACTCGTCCCACCTGATACAGAGCGCAGCCGGACGTGATGGAGATGATGGATCCCAACAGGGCATTCACCATCACCGACGGTAGGAATTTCCTATGCCAGAAGTAGCTGCAAGGAAGGTTGGAAGTTGTCAGAGTTCACTGAATCGAGAAATTACTCATTTAAAATATAAGCTCTTCTAATTTTGTCACCATTCACCATATCCTGTTCCGGATCATTATGCGAGGATTAGACAACTGGAACTTTAATCCGAATCAGAATGATGAACGTTATAGGCAAGGAAACGATTCAAGGGGACCTCCAAGCGACTCCGGTGAGGCACCCGGCAATCGAGGTGGAGATGGTGGAGATGGCAGCTCGGCCGGCATAGTGCCATTTGTCGTACGAGATCCCGAATGTGCTTCCACACGTGAAGCCCAATGCTCCCCACCTGCTCCAGAGTTCAGGGGAATGATTCTCGTCAGAGTCGAAGGAAAATGAGCTTCGAGCGAGAACGGAGTTTTCCTCTATCGAATGACTAACATGGCACATAGGCCTACAGCGTTTTAGCATTCCACTATGTCAAACATTCAATGTCATATACGGGATTTCTTACCGGTAAGTTGGATAGGATTCAAATTTACAGCGTCTTCCCTCTGCTCAACTTGTCTGGAGAGTTGATGAAGCAATGCTTCCAAATTCTATCGGTCATCCACCCATGTTACGATTAATTTTAATAAACTAATGACTTTCTTGAATTGCAGGTCATAATGATATGAGGAATTGTTTTCTTCAAATGTTGATCGAAAGTCACATCCACCACTCACAGACAGTTATTTTGTCTTTCCAT